GTAAAAGTAACTGGTACCTTGGAAATCGTGTCCTCTGCACATGATCCTGCGAACAATATTTTTTCGGTCTCCCCATGCGTATGGGAGAAGAGCACTCACTTCATCAACATATTTCTATGCCTTACGCAGTTAGGGGAGTTCTCTGCGTGGTATCCACAATAGAGCCATACGCCCTCTGTTGATCCCCTAGGGCAGCCTCCTCCGGATGTGAGGGAGGAGGCTAGGCTCCTAAGCCACTAGACGGGTGTAGCAGGGAACATAAAAAGGAGGGTATACGATATGCAGACGTCCACAGAGGCCCCCCAGAAGCGATAAAAGGGGATACTTTCAATATATCCAACGATACCATATCTAGCTCCCAGCAGAGCTCTGTCCACAGCAGACGGCCCTTACTCCTTGTGTGAGCCCGCTGGCAATAAGGAAAACGCTTCATTTGAGGCCAGAGCTGCCCTTCGGCCATCATAATTTAGAGCAAGTACAGTATCACAAAATCTCAACAGATTTGAACAGCTGTTCGTGTTTGCCACTGAGAGCAAATTCAATTTTTTTTGCGACATAAACCAAATATACTGGATCTCAAAGGACATTTCTGTCGATTTGTGGAAGATCCAACTGTAATTATTCAGAATAGTATGCGGCAAACGATTCCACTCGTCGATTCCCACTGCTGGTATGTTTTTTGTTTCCCTGAGGAAATACAAATTCTCGAGAAACGCCAAATTATATCACCGAGGCTATATACCTCAATTCTGTTGCACACGCTGTATTGGCTGAGAGAAAGGGTCATTGAGGGGTAGCACGTGGGCACGAACAAGCAAGTGCGTCGGAAAAACACAGGAAATCGATGTTGCCGCTGACTCGCACGCACATGCGTACGTCCCCACTGGGGAGCCGTGTCGAGGTTGTGAGTTTCCCCACTACACTTCCAAAGGAGGAAATCAAGACGAGCAATAAAAGAAAACAACCTTTTCTGTCAGAAAAGAGTGCTGACGACGTACGTACCATGCGGAGGTTATTTGTGAGAAAGTTTTCCCGGAAGCAAGAGACCAAGAATGGAAACCATTCACGGCTAGGTGGGGCCCTCAAAAGCGTCCGAGAATGAACCTCTCACGAGGCTTCGCATTATATGGAAAGGGCTCTGTTTGGGGCTCAGACATGGAAATGTGACATGTTGATGATATCCCCTTGTTGTCCCATCCGCGGGGACTCTGTCCACGTCAGACCAGACATATTTTTAAACTCATTTGCGTCTCCCGCATCCGTTTTGAGGGAACATTGGGCGGTTTAGTTCACCGGTCCGATTGGGGAAATGAGAAGACGGCTCGGGAGAAGAATGAAACAAGAAGAGCCAGCCAGCAGGAATGCGGACGCAGCGCGCCTGGGTAGTAGCAGTAGTTCACGGTCGGAAGCCGCCCTTAGGATATCTAAATGTCTAACGTACGGTGTTTCCTGTCTGGGTTCCTGGGTGTCTGGTTGGCATGTTGGCATGAAATAGAGCGACAGATGGAAAGAAAGCGAGAGACACTCGTGCGAAATAATACACTCTGGTTGGCATCACCAAGGAGGTGAATTGACCAGTCCTAAGAGGCCACGGGGGGAGAATTCTGGTCCCAGACCCTGCCTGGTTTCAGACGTGTCTAGAGTTAACCATAACTCAGGTTGACCGACCAGGACCAGTCAGGTCCGACCAGGGTCAGTCGGGGTCAAAACGATTTTGTCGTGACGGCAAAAGTACAAGCTATTCCTCCACTTTTTTCTGCTCCGCTGAGTGCAAGGTTCTTCCAGGGGAGCTGCTGTCGTAATCTCCCGCGGAGCTGCTATCTTGATCTGCCTGGGCATTTGTACGCCATGATGGCCTAGAGACGCTCCACTGCTGGCAAGGGGGAGCTTGGCAGTCAGCAATGTTCTGCGGGAGAGATTGGTGAGATCCAGGATGGGCTTACCGATTCGATCTTGGGCGAGGGTTGCAAATCGCCCGAGTACAGTATTGACATTCGTTTTCGAGAGCTTCGTTCTTGGGTTCCTATACGCAGTACCACCCGTAAATGCGAAGCATTGGTCGCTGCAACAGTGGGAATTCTATCAAACGCCCCCTGCTCAATGTTTCTCAACCGCTTTGCCAGTCTTATCCGCAAGTGCTTACCGCGCATGTACTTTGATGGCACCGAACTTGAAAAAGATGACCTGCGCGAGGGTCCGGCCAACCATCTAGAATCCTGGACGGACGATAGAATTGACCCTCGATTGTATCCACCACGGTTTATCATTTGGTACCCACAAGAAGTGAGACGACTGCTGTCGATCGGATAGGCACCGTTCAAAGACTCCTCGAGCAGTACTTCGAAAACTCGAGTGCTGAACGTATTTTTCGCGACTCCGCTGGTGCGTTTTAGGGAATTCCGACCGTGGTCCTTTGCAAAGGAGTTGATGAGAGTCTATCATGGCCCGAGTTGAAGCTCGAGGTGGAAAACAAGCTCGACATGCAAGGTAGCTGGAAAAACAACCCCGAGCTAGTCTTAAGGTCGATTGGGATGTTGCGCTCGAGTAGCGCATGCCTGAGCTGGCAAACAGGCAGCGTGGGCAACCGCGTGGTGGCGACGTTTAGGCTCGGTAAAAACAGTCTGCGCAACGGACATGGGCGAGAGTGGAAGCGCCCGCTGGAGCCGGCGGTGCAGGTGCGTCGTTGTCTGCCGAGCATGTTACGTGTTTTTTAGTGCGAAATGCCAGGCCCGCCCCGCAGAACTGTCTCTTTCAGCGGTTTACAGCCAAGACTCTACCCAGTACGCTGGGAAGTGTGGGCAGGGCTCTGGTAGGGGCCCAGATATGGTGGTTGGAGATGTTAATGGTACCCCCTTGTCGTCCCATCAGGATGACCTCTATTGACGTCTTATCGACCAGGGTAAGTTCTAAACATGTCAGGTTGACTGGGCAGCCGTGAGCTGTTCGTTGATCCAGAATTGTTTCGAGCGTTGAAGCGGCAGAGGAGATTACATCGGATCTACAAGTCGAGGAGCGGCCTCCAGAGGCGTCTCTGCTGACTCACCGAGCTCGCGTTCGAAGCTGTGATGGTTCTGCGTCGTACCGAGGGACATGGCGATAGGCGGGATTCATCTATACCCTCTTCGCGGTACGCCAGCAAGATAAATCTCTCCGAATTCAGGCGGGGGGTTGTGTCATCTCATCACTCCAGTGTCAAGATCTCTCCGTTGCCTTGCGGGGGTTTGAGCGAGATCATCAGCGGGACACTGTAAGTCAACATATGTGGAGAGTTGCGATATCGTGCGGTATTTGTGCGTCTACATCTTGCGCGTGGTTAACACCATTGAAGTGGGGGAAAAGTTGCGCCCCGAAAATGCGGTGGAGTCTCGACCAGGACATCTACTTGCTATGTTTTTCATACAGTTGTAGATCTGTCGCTAAGTTTCTTTTTGGGCATTGCCGGGCAGGCGTAGTCTTGTGCCCGTCACTGAAATCAAATGCGAGAGTACGCCGAGGCCACTGCTCTGAGGACTGTTTTATCGCACTTACCTCATGGAGGTCAAGAGGGGCGTTTAATGGCATGTGTATGCTACGAAGGCCAACGCACCGAGCGAGCGTCTCAACGTTATGTAGTAGGGATGCCGTTGTCGGCGAGTTCATATCTCTTGTCGAGTGAGTCCAGAGTTAACCATTCCGACGAACATACCCATGGATCCGTTCACCAATGTCAACGGCCGGCGCGGAAAATTCAAACTGCTGTTTATGTGCTTTGAGGCTTCCGAGGGTTTCATTTCAGCGTCGCGTGCGATGGATGTTGCTTGCCTACTTGTTGTGATCATTAACGATATTTTTTGGCACGTGCAGTGCGTTGAGCGTGTGGTTGCCACCGAAGTGTGCTGTGTTACATACACAGTCAACGTTTGTGTGTGTTCCCCGAGGCGAAGTATGATTCGCGTGCAGTGAAATGTCGTATTTGAACCATCTTATTGTTGAAGCGCGTGTGCCTGTTGGAGTGCGTTTTCTAGTCAAGAAGTTAATGGTTTTGGATGAAGGAATCCTTTCAGAAACCAACAAACTGAGTTCTAACCCTCGGTGTCTGATTGTCGAGAAGTCTACATTCTTGCCGATCATGTTGCAATCCAGTATCATATCCGTATTTTGGGTAACTCGGTTTCCCATTTTGCTCGTCTGTTTTGCAAGTGTTGGTTGGTGCACACTTTCCACGGTGTTCTCGATTTTGCTGTTGTAGTGTGATAAAGTGATGTCGGTTCATCACACGGTCACAAAAGCTCTTTCGCGACTGCTGTACGGCATCATTGACAATGTTTCGTGGGTGATTGCTTCCTGACTCTGCTATCCTCCTGTGCACGCGAGGTTTTTCATACAATTCCGCATTTACTATGCTTCTACTGGCGATCACGAGCCGGCAGGTCGATTTTTCGGTTAGAGGTCCGCGCCGCTTTGTTGTACACGCTCCAACGTGGGCTAGTGTCGTGTTGGAGGATCCGTACATTTGTAGCTCAGTGTGACTTCCTTCATAAACGTATACACTGGTCGTGGCTGTTTTCAATCGACTGTTTCGTCTCCAGAACCTTCGTGCTCTAATTGCGCCGCATTTTGATTGCGCCGCACATGTGAGTGTACATTTTCAGAGGGCATACGGCTTGCTGGAACCAGGGCCTAGCTGCATCGCTGTACTTCTGAGTCAAGAACGGCTGACGCTTGGCCGTTGGATGGCGTGTTTTGGTGTTGGGGGCGTGAGGCACTGTTTTGGATGATGTTCTACGGTCAACGGCTTGCTGTCCGCTGGCAATTCAGGAGTCGAGTTTGGTATGCGTCGGTTCATGATGCGCGATAATGGAGCGTCCACGTTGTGTGTGGCGCATTCGCGTGGTTAGGACGATGTCCGGGGCTCGAATTTCGTTGAGACCATTTGCGAGTTCACCTTTAGTCGTTTTGCATGTTCTGAGAGATTTGTTGATGTAGAGGGAAGCTTCGACTGTGTTTTGCGACTTGAACAGATGCGGTATGTGAAGTTCATGGGCAATTCTTGGCCGTTCGTAGATGTGGTCGTTCGTAGATGGCATAATATCTTCCAGCCCGATTACTGCTGATGTGTTCACGTTTGGACTGTTCGTTCTCGAGACACTAGCGATTACGCATCCCGAGTTTTTCCAAAAGATTTGGCGTGATACGGTCTGCGTATTTACTAGTGCATGTACTTGTACTCCCATATCCGCAATTTTTTGGCGTTATCGGCTAGTAGTCAGAGCACAGTTTGTGATCAAGCTCAACATTATTAGGGGGCGTTGTGGACAGGGCTCTGCTAGGGGCCCAGATATGGAAATTGAAGATGTTCATGGTACCCCCACCTTGTCTCATTATGGGGGCCTCAATTGGCGTTTGATGGTCATAATACGCTCTGTTTACCATCACCAAGGAGGTGAATCGACCAGCCCCCCGAGGCCACGGGGGGAAGGCACTGGTCCTAAGCCCTGCCTGACTTCAGGGGTGGCTATAGTAGGGGGGCATTTTCGCAGCACCGGGGACGCCCGTGCACGCAAGCGGCAGCAACAGCAGCGCAACGGCAACAGAAACAGCAACAACATCGCACCTAGGGGCACACGAAGTAGCATCAGCACCCATACTCCCGACAGCCTTCGCAGCAGCCTTCTTCAGGAGGGAGAGGTGGCTCCGGGGCGGCATCGTCGACCAACATCACGAACCCCATGTCGATGGTGGGGCTGTTTTCGCCGGAGTTTCCCAATTAGACGCAATCCAACGTCTATTATGCCGCCTGACCAGTCTCCGTCAGGTGCCACTGCCCCTGCATCTTTTCCAGCGCCGACTGGGGGTGTTGGGATGCAACCCAACCCAGTCCTGAGGAGCTCTTCGTGGCGGCGTTTTGTGGAGTCCTGCCCGGAGGTTTATGCGGGTTCGATTCTGAATTCTGGCTCGGGTTCCGCCACCATGTGAGCAAATTTCGCAAGTAGGCTGCAAGCTGCTTTTTCTGATGTGCAGGTCGTGGGGTGCATGCGAAACCCGGGGAAGCTGAAACAAGCAGGCGGACGCCTGCTCGAGATCACACGAAAAATGCCCCCCGCGCATATTACTCCACATACCAGCTGGGGACTTTTGTCGGTGTAACCGTTTTTGTTTGGGGTCACTCCTGGTAATGATGAGGTGGCCTTTCTTGGCAACCCCACGCTGAAGTCGTTCGGCATCGATGTGTGAAAGCTTGGGGGCCTGCACGCGTCGTTCGCGCGGTGGTGTCTCGAGTGTTGACAACGCATTTCACAAACTAAACATTGCGGCGGAGTTACGGTTGCCGTTGAGCTCCTCCAGCAGCGTGAAGGTCCAGAGCAAGCTGAACCAGATCTAGCTGTCGTGCGGTCGAACGTTTGGTGGCGCGAGGCCCAGATCATTGACGTGATCCCTGACGAGGAGGTATCGGCGCGGTCTGCATCGACAGAGCACTCAGTTCTGCGGCTTCAGCTGGCTTGGAGAAACGTCACGTTAAACATCTGCGAGGCATCATCAGCGAGCGTTGAAATTCGTTCCGCCGTGGTGCCGTGGTTTACGCAATGGGGACCCTCCTGCCAACCTTGAGGCTCTGCGGGTCACGGAGCACGGCCGCTGAAAGCACGATCACGCGCGTTTTTGTTGTTGTTGTCTTAACATTAAAAAACGTTCCGATCTCTCCCTACCAAGTACCTTCGTATGTCCGTACTGATACAACACTCGACGCGGTCGATTCCCGTGGTCGCAGGCTAACTTACCCATAAAAGGTGCACTCAAATAGAATGGTCCCGAGGGGTCCGCAAGTCAACAGAAATCAACGAGAGATATTCTGGAGTCCTCCACTCCATCTGCGCGCTATGCGAGGTATAACAACTGAGACTAGGAGTCATCATCACGGGCCGGAAAGAATGAGGTACACCCCCTTGGTTCAATCTTGGTACTTCACAACGCAAGCGGAGACAAGGCCACCTGGCACAGAAAAAGAGAGAAAAATGGAGAAAAATAAAAGAAAACAGTAAGGAAAGAGAAAATAGAATAAAAAGACCGAAGACCAAATGGGACCAGGCCGAAAATAACAAGAAATAAGAGACAGAAAAAGGCACACGGTGGAGAGGCCACTAACGACAAGCAAACACGCAAAGATGGCCACCAACCAGCGATACATTGTAATGGTACGTCATCACTAGTGGGGGGTTGGTGCAATGGTGCAACGTTCGGGGG